AATATCACCAAGCAGTTTTACTTGGTGCAGCAAATTATAGTTTTAGATATACTGCTAACTGCATGGAAGTTCTTGGAGAGAAGCTCCCAGTAGGAACATGCGTTCCGTATTTTATACAAAATTGTCGTTACCTGTGACGTAATACACAAGTTATTCATAAACAAGAACAGGAACACGTAACATTACATTTGGCGCGTTATACTGAAACTAAGTATAAACAAATACAAAATGAACAATTAAACACATAATGTCTCTTTTTGGTATAGCATGTTTAGTATAAATAGACATAAATCTCAAAAACAAGTAGAAGACTTTTTTTTCTGACTCTGTTCATTATTTTCAGTTAGATATATTAATTCATTTTTTGTCATAATTTTTTTTAACATTTATTCACAATTATTCTATATCTAGCTAGACTTGGGATGTTTAAAAGCTAAAAAAATATTGTGATGACATAATATGTCCATTGTATAAGACTTTATAACTAATGTAAGAGGCATGTGCTGTTTGAACTTAAGAAGTAAGGAGTTTTAATTGGGTCACCTCCTGTCTTAATTATTTATGTATACTTCATATCTCCTTTAAATCATATCTAGAAATTCAAATATGTTAACATGCACAAATAATTGCTTTTATAGTCTGAGAGTCGTTTTTGTCTCCTTATTATTATCCTCTCGTTTTATGTTCTTTACATTCTACTATCTTGCCACAGAAAGATAGCTAGCCATCGTCTGGACCAGCGCAAACCATCCTCTAAATTAATCCGGTATTAATCAATATTGATTGAAAGTAATTGATTTGGTTATATCCTTTGTTACCTTTGGATTATCTTACTAAGTATAAATGTGTATAACCGAGGAAGAAAAGCATGTGCGGTGTGTCCCTAGTTTCATATACGTTTCAAATATAATGAATCTTAACAATCATAACAACGTGCGACTGGATAAAATGTGGAATGATCACGTGTGCGTTTTTATACATTACAAAATTGCAGGAGTTTCGGCTATATATGAAATAATGTTCCTGTGTACCGATATGCATGATTGATCATGATGCAACTTTAATAACTAAAATAAAGAGTTCAAACCTGATACTCTGCAGGATCGAAGGACATTTACTAGGTTTCAAATTGCCCCAACCAACCAACAGACTTTTATTATGAAAGAGTCAGTAATATCTTTCAATCAGGTAGTAAGAAAGCATTCAGTCCGAAGATTGTCCATTGTTCAACTTGTAAGACCGTCTCCGAGGAGACGGTAATAATTTATTTGTAGAGTGTTAAAAATTTTACGGAAGTCTTGGATAAACTATTATAATTTTGAAGGTAATTTTATTTCCATTGAAAACTATGACTTCTCTTCATTAACACATATTCTTTTTCAACAATAAATGGGGAATGTGTCCATGGGACACAGATGATGCCCCCGCTTGCATACAACGTTATAAAGGGACATAACTCAAAAGAATGGTAAAAGTGACGCTACCCAAATTCATCTTGATCTGAGTTTTGTGGTAATTAGCATTGAGTATAAGTTTCATAACATTTGGTTGAGGCAAACTGAAGTTAGAGAACGGAAACAAATTTTGGGACGTACGGACGGATGTACGTACATACAGACAGACAAGAGTAAAACTCAATGCCCCCTCTGCCAAGGCGAGGGCATAAAAACTGTCCTTCTTAACAAAAAGGTCTTTGAACACTATTTCTGTTGTAGTCTGATGAAACTTATCAGACATACACAGACATGTACACCAAATATAGTTGACCTATTGCTACTGAAATTATGAATGTGAGTTTTTATTATTGCAAACTTGATACTAATTACATACTAATACATTATTTGCATTAATTAGAACATTGCAATAATATCTGAATTAACACTATTATATTGAAGAAACATACTTAACAGTGAAAACCTTACACTCATTATACAAATTAAATATGCCTGACCTATATATCATATTGTATGGGAAATGTACCTAATCACAAAAACTGAATTTGGTCACTGAAGAATGAAAAGAGTTCAAGGTCAGGGGAACCTAGTCTGATGGACATGTCAACCTTATATTTGATTCTATATACCAAATATAGTTGTCCTATTACTAATAATAACTGAAAAAGATCATGAAGCTTTTAAAGAGGTAATTGAACCATGAAAATAATGTCAATGATTCTGGACATATGCAAGATGGAAACTTCATATCATAAGGTATATGTATACCAGATATGGATTGAATGAATAAAAAGGGAATAAAAACATTCCTGCAAGAGCAAGTACTCCTAAAATGAATCAATTGACAATTTCGGCCATGTTGACTTATTTGTAGATGTTATTTTTGCTGAAAATTTTTACCACTGAAATTTTTCTTTATCTATAGTATCTGCAAAAATGCAAAAAGGGTTAAAATCATCATTCAAATTATAAGGGTTGATTTCTGAAATGTTTGACTTATATTTATAGATCTTATTGTTCTGGTCATTTTTACTGTTTCAAATTTCTCTCTATTATAATTTTAAATATAATTGCCAAAACCTTTGAAGTTTGTAAATATTAACATTTTAGGGCCAATAACTCTGAAAATAACATATGAGATAGACCTTGACCAGCTGATCATTTTTGCTTTAATTTTCTTTTGAGAAATGCCAAAAGATGTGAAACTTTCTTAAAATTTACATTTCAGGGGCAATAACTCCCAAATCAGGTGTATGATTTTTCTGAAAATTCTATAGGTGATAGACCTTCACCTGCTGATAATGTATCAGTTTTGCTTTTACTGCTTTATTTTTTGAGATTTAATCCAAAAACTGAATTTTACTCCTATGATCTATTTTTTAGCAACTGTGGTCATGTTTGTTGATGGATCGAATCTCTGGATACAGTTTTCTTTAAACTAAAATTCTCTAAGGTTAAGTTTCAGAAGAGACGATTATAAAACAAATGTGGATAGTGTCCACATGTGGACACAGATGATGCCCCCGTTTGCATATCATATAGTTATAAAGGGATATAACTGAAGAACGGTAAAAGTGACGCTACCCAAATTTGAACTTGATCTGAGTTTTGTGGTAGTAAGCATTATGTATAAGTTTCATAACATTTGGTTGAGGCTAACTTAAGTAGAGAACAGAAACTAAAAATTCAGCATTTTTTCTATTTGTAAACACGCATAACTCTAGAACGGTTGTGTACAAGTTTTATAACATTTGGTTGAGACAAACTAAAGTTAGAGAACGGAAACAAAAAATTCAGCAATTTTTATGTTTATAAAGGGACATAACTCAAGAATGGTAAAAGTGTAGCAACCAAATTTTGTACTTAATCTGTATTATGTAGTAATAAGCATTGTGTATAAGTTTCATAATATTTGGTTGAGGCAAACTAAAGTTAGAAAACGGAAACAAAAAATTTGTATTTGATCTTAGTTTTGTGGTAATGAATATTGTGTATAGGTTTCATAATGTTTGGTTGGGGCTAACTTAAGTTACAGAATGGAAACTAAAAATTTTGCAATCTTTCGATTTATAAAGGAGCAAATCTTTCAATCAGTTTAATTGAGGTCTGGAGCTGGCATGTCAGTAACTGCTATTAGTCTGTTGTTATTTATGTATTATTGTCATTTTGTTTCCTATTCTGACATCGGACTCGGACTTCTCTTATACTGAGTTTTACTGTGCGTACTGTTGTGCGTTTGTTTTTTCTACATTGGCTAGAGGTATAGGGGGAGGGTTGAGATCTCAAAAAACATGTTTAACCCCGCCACATTTTTGTGCCTGTCCCAAGTCAGGAGCCTCTTGCCTTTGTTAGTCTTGTATCATTTTTAATTTTAATTTCCTGTGTATAATTTAGAGTTTTGTATGACATCCATTATCACTGAACTAGTATACATATTTGTTTAGGGGCCAGCTGAAGGACGCCTCCGGGTGCGGGAGTTTCTCGCTGCATTGAAGACCCATTGGTGGCCTTCGGCTGTTGTCTGCTCTATGGTCGGGTTGTTGTCTCTTTGACACATTCCCCATTTCCATTCTCAATTTTATAACTCAATAATGATTAAAGTGACACTACCCAAATTCAACTTGATCTGTGTTTTATCAGTGGAAGTCAAAATTAAACATTGCATTGTATAAAGCATTGATTGTAGTTGATTCAACTATAATCATGGACAAAGGAAGATAACTCCAATTTTAAAAATTATTTGATATTTAGAAGAAAATAAAAATTTTGCAATTTTTCCATTTATAAAGGGGCATAACTCTAGAACGGTTAAAGTGATGCCACCAAAATTCAAACTTGATCTGTGTTTTGTGGTAATAAGCATTGTGTATAAGTTTCATAACATTTGGTCGAGACAAACTTAAGTTAGAGAATGGAAACTAGAAATTTTGCAATTTTTTCCATTTATAAAGGGGCATAACTCTAGAACAGTTAAAGTGACGCCACCAAAATTCAAACTTGATCTGTGTTTTGTGGTAATAAGCATTGTGTATAAGTTTCATAATATTTGGTTGAGGCAAACTCAAGTCAGAGAACGGAAACCAATTTTGGGACGCAAGGACGTACAGACAGACAAGGGTAAAACTTAATGCCCCCACCGCTACTTTATGATAAAAACTTTATGATTACAACAAACATAAGGACTATGGACACCAAGAGAGGCATGGTGAGCTAAAAATTGAATAAAACTGCCTATTTTAACACCCACTTTTTTGTAAAACTGTTATACATGCAACAGAATGAAGTTTAAACTAAGTATCTCTTCAAACTGAGGATAATCATGTAATATAATTATAAAATAACCTGTTACAATATGACAACAATTTGATAATTTCATACAAAAATCCATTGTATAACAAGAAAATAAGTCAAAAATTTGTAATAAAAAATTGCACCATATGACAAATATCGCTTTCATCCAAAATAGTTGAAAATTCTGAACAGTATTTAATGTAGGGAGTAGTCATCTTTAATTTGTTTCATTTCAAGAAAATATGTATCACATACCATGAGAACACATCAATTCCAAGTAAAGATAATATTCTTCCTAGTGGTGGGAGGATCTGTTTAGTGATATAGTATGTAACATTTATCCTCAATGAAGGATCAGTCAGTAATTCAAATGGTTGTTTAACAAGTTGAATTAAGGGTAGTCCTGGGCTTCCATATACTATAACATATGGTACTCGCTCTCCCACACACGGTTCAGATCTTCTATCATGTTGCAGCATCTTTCTGAAATAATAACATCAGACTTTGTTTTTAAATTTGACAAATAAAATTACATTCATATACATGTCTTTTTTTCCCTTCTTTTATGCAGACTTGTTTCCTAAAAATGAATGAATAACCATACCTTTCAACTGACCAGTATTTTGTGGGTAACTAACACCTTGAATTTAGGAGCTCACTGGAGATTTTTCAGTACCTGCTCAGTCTCAGATAAAACACAGTTTCATCCAATGACCCATATTCTAGTGCCATAAGACTTCCAATGTCTATAAAAGAACAGAGTTCCAATGTCCCCTGAGTTGTACATATTTTATCTATCCAAGGTACAAGGGCAATAACTAAAAAAAGCACTTTTTTTTGTTCTATAAGACTTTTTATTAATATCTTAAAGAAATGAAGGCTTCAGAGCAAATACAATGTGATTTCAATTATAATTAATATTTCCAAGGGGCATAACTCGTAAAAATATTTGATCAGAACTTATTTTCGAAAGTGTCAAAGACATTGCTGATATAAACCTATGATATAAGTTTCATAAAATTCTGGCAAGAATTTTAAACTTATGAGAGGGCTAACAATGCAATTTTCTGAATAATCAATATTTCCAAACGGGCATAACTCTTTTAAAAATATTTGATCAGCACTGATTTTCAAACTCGTCAAAGACATTGATACTTTAAACCTAAAATATAAATTTCATAAAAATCTGGCAAGAACTGTACATTTTAGAGCGCTCATAAGGCAATTTTCCATATAATTAATATTTCCAAAGGGCATAATTCTTTTAAAAATATTTGATCATCACTGATTTTCGAACTCATCAAAGACATTAATGCTGATATAAACCTATGATTTAAGTTTCAGAAAATTCTGGCAAGAATTGTACACATGAGAGCCCTAACAATGCAATTTTCCATATATTTAATGTTTCCAAGGGGCATAACTCTTTTATAAATAATTGATCAGCACTGATTTTTGAACTCATCCAAGACATTGCTAATATGAACCTATGATATAAATTTCATAAAAATCTGGCAAGAATTGAACAAATGAGAGCGCTAACAATGCAGTTTTCCATATAATTAATGTTTCCAAGGATCATAACTATTTAAATAAAATGCTCCGCAGGGCGCAGCTTGATACGACCGCAGAGGTCGAACCCTCAACAGTTGGGGCAAGTATGGACACAACATTCAAGCTTGATACAGCTTTGCATTAGGATTGTGATTAAATATTTGACACAGCATAGGTTTCTGACACAGAATGAATGTGGTCTAAGAACTTAAAAATTTTAAATTGGACATTCACCTATTATGGTCCAATATCCAAAATCTAAATACATGGTTAGATTCAGCATATCAAAGAACCCCAAGAATTCAGTTTTTGACGAAATCAAACAAAGTTTAATTTTGGACCCTTTTGACCTCAATGTGGACAAAGTTGATAACAGGGCCCATAAAATCAAAAATCTAAATACATGGTTAGATTCAGCATATCAAAGAACCCCATATATTCAATTTTTGTTGAAATCAAACAAAGTTTAATTTTGGACCCCAATTTGAACCAACTTGAAAACTGGGCCCATAATCAAAAATCTAAATACATGTTTAGATTCAGCATATCAAAGAACCCTAAGAATTCAATTTTTGTTAAAATGAAACTAAGTTTAATTTTGGACCCTTTGGACCTTAATGTAGACCAATTAGAAAACAGAACCAAAAATTAAGAATCTAAATACACGGTTAGATTCGGCATATCAAAGAACCCCAATAATTCAATTTTTGATCAAACAAAGTTTAATTTTGGACCCTTTGGACCTCAATTTGGACCAATTTAAAAAGGGGGCCCAAAATCCAAAAACTAAATACACGGTTAGATTCAGCATATTAAAGAACCCCAAGAATTCAAGAATAAAACCCCATTGAAATTTGTCAAGAAATAAGCAATTTATACGAAGTATCTTCTTTTGCACAATACTGTGCAATTAAATATTTCTTGCTATTGCGCAATACTGTACAATTGACAATTTCTTGCTATTGCGCAATATTATGCTATTGGATATTTCTTGCTATTGCGCAATACTGTGCAATTGAAGATTTCTTGCTATTGCGTAATACTGTGCAATTGAAGATTTCTTGCTATTGTGCAATACTGTGCAATTGAAAATTTCTTGCTATTGCACAATACTTATTATATAATAATTTACACATCCTGTTTGGTGTGTATCTCCTACCATATCATTATTATTTGCTTTTAAATATAAATCAGAAATAACCAACTTAAAATGGAAAATTTTAAAAGAAAAAAAAAAAGGAAAAAATAGAAAAAAAAGGGAAAAAAAAAAAATCCCCCCCCTCAAATTTTTTGAACCCCCTTATGATTCATCACCCCAAACTCAATCCAAGCCTTCCCTTTGTGGTATGGTACCTTGCAGTACAATTTCAGAGAGATCCATACACTTGAACACAAGTTGTTGTCTGGAAACTAGAAAAATGTGTTATATGGCCCCTTTTTGGCCTCAAATTCCTAAACGTTTAGGGCAATTACCCCCAAACTCAAACCCAGCTTTCCCTTTGTGATATAGAACCTTGTAGTACAATTTCAGAAAGATCCATACACTTACACACAAGTTATTGTCCTGAAACTAGAAAAATGCTTGTTTTTTGCCCCTTTTTGGCCCCTATAATTCCTAAAATATTGAGGCAATTACCCCCATCATCAATCCCAGCCTTTATTTGTGGTATGGTACCTTGCAGTACAATTTTTGGCCCCTTTTTGGCCCCCAATTCCTAAACGTTTCGGCAATTACCCCCAAACTCAATTCCAGCTTTCCCTTTGTGATATGGAACCTTGTAGTACAATTTCAGAAAGATCCATGCACTTACACACAAGTTATTGTCATGAAACTAGAAAAATGCTTGTTTTTTGCCCCCTTTTTTTGGCCCCTAATTCCTAAAATTTTGAGGCAATTACCCCCAAAATCAATCCCAGCATTCCTTTTGTGATATGGAACCTTGTGGTACAATGTCAGAGAGATCCATACACTAACACACAAGTTATGTCTGGAAGTTACAAAAATGCTTATTTTTGGCCCCTAATTCCTTTACTGTTGGTACCATAATCCCCAAAATCAATCCCAACCTTCCTTTTGTGGTATTGAACCTTGTGGTAAAATTTCATAGAGATCCATTCACTTAAACTAAAGTTAGAGTGCGAAAACCAATGTGTCTTCGGACGACGCCGGAATTTGTAAAAATTCACAAAAATTTATAAAATTTATGAAAATTGTAAAAAATTGACTATAAAGGGCAATAACTCCTTAAGGGGGTCAATTGACAATTTTGGTCATGTTGACTTATTTGTAGATCTCACTTCGCTGAACAATTTTGCTGTTTACAGTTTTTCTCTATCTATTATAATATTCAATATAATAAACAAAAACTGCAAAATTTTCTTAAAATTACTAATTCAGGGGCAGCAACCCAACAGCGGGTTGTCTGATGCATCTGAAAATTTCAGGGCACAGATAGAACAATTTTATCCTCGTCAGATTTGCTCTAAATGCTTTGGTTTCAGAGATATGAGCCAAAAACTGCATTTTACCCTATGTACTATTTTTTAGCCATGTCGGCCATCTTGGTTCGCGGGCGGGATCATCAGACTTATTTTTTAAACTAGATACCCTAATGATGATTGTGGACAAGTTTGGTTAAATTTGTCTCAGTAGTTTCAGAGGAGAAGATTTTTGTAAAAGATAACAAAAATTTACGAAAAATGGTTAAAAATTTACTATAAAAGGCAATAACTCCTTAAGGGGTCAACTGACCATTTTGGTCATGTTGACTTATTTGTAGATCTTACTTTGCTGAACATTAATGCTGTTTACAGTTTATCTCAATCTATAATAATATTCAAGATAATAACCAAAAACTGCAAAATTTCCTTAAAATTACCAATTCAGGGGCAGCAACCCAACAACGGGTTGTCCGATTCATCTGAAAATTTCAGGGCAGATAGATCTTGACCTGATAAACAATTTTACCCCATGTAAGATTTGCTCTTAATGCTTTGGTTTCAGAGATATAAGCCAAAATCTACATTTTACCCCTATGTTCTATTTTTAGCCATGGAGTCCATCTTGGTTCGTTGGCCGGGTCACCGGACACATTTTTTAAACTAGATACCCCAGTGATGATTGTGGCCAAGTTTGGTTAAATTTGGCCAAGTAGTTTCAGAGGAGAAGATTTTTGTAAAAGTTAATGGACGACGGACGCCAAGTGATGAGAAAAGATCACTTGGCCCTTTGGGCCAGGTGAGCTAATAATTGATTGGGACTGATTTTCGAACATTGCTGATATAAACCGATGATTTAAGTTTCATTAAAATCTACCAAGAATTGTACACCTGAGAGCGATAACAAGACCTGACGGACGGACGCCTGGAATTTCTATGTCCCCCTCAACGCTTTGCGCGGGGGACAAAAATGATTGCTTTTCCTCTGAAAAACAGCAAATTTGAAATTCTTTCTGGACAGGAAGTTCGATAATTGGCTCTTAATTGATTGATTTACAGCTATCAACACATAATTTTGACACTCTTTTGATTGAAAGGTAATAGCAATTCACTAATTATCTTGATAATTGTACCCTGGAAAGGTTGAAGCCAGTCATGCTTAACATACAATTTTGTAAAATTTGCTGTTTGCAAATATCAATTTTACTATTAAAATCATTTTAAAACAATTTGAACCTCTTTATTTGTTAGAGAGATACAAATCCATGAACTATTTACACCATTTATTTTTGTTGTCACTTAAAATCTCTTTAGTTAATATCTTCCATCTATGTATAGGAGTACATTAGCTATAGCTGATTTCTTATTATAATTTGTATTTATAAAATTCATTCATGAAAAATAGTGTTGATGAAAGAATTTAAGGCATATTGCTTTATATTGATATTTGTTTAATAATAAATATTTAACAAATACATGTACAATGAATTTAAAATGAAAATATAAATTGAAATTTTAGATAATTTTCAGCAAATACTTTGTGACAATTGTGAATATTTGAAGGTAACTGGTATTGTTATAGAATATAAAAAAAAATCCTCGAAACACTTTAATTCAACTGAAATAAGTTCTTACACGTTATGACCCGAAATTTTCTTCCTTAATGCAGGTGATGCATTTTCATTTTCAGAGGTTGACAGGTATGTAAAACTCGTAAAATTCTATATCTTTCTGTTCAATACTATATTATTTGATTCAGATTTTTAAAGAACTGTATATGAAATGTTCAAATTAAATCCATACCGGTACTACAAATGATACTTTTTTTTATAATAAAATGCATAAACACTTTCCCATTTACAAACATTACTTCATAAAAATCTGAGTTAGAAATTCATTTCAGGTAAAAGGTAATACAATGTAGTTACATTTTCTTCAAGTCATTTTCTACATCTTGGATACTGTAAACCATTTTACATTAGTGAGCAACTATTTGTGCGATTAAAAAAAATGCAAATATAATAGTTACACAGTGTACAGTGAGAAGGTCAGCATCGCTACAACATGTTTTTGTCTAAAGCATGAACAAGTTATAATTATGTATGTTTACAATGTATGTTAATTTGAGAACAAGTTATTTTAAAAAGAATATAGCTCTACTACACACTGTGTATTTAAAATAAACCACACCCATTTAAATATACACACTTTCCAAATGTTTTCTTTTAACCAATAATATTCCTAGAAGTGTATAGGAGGTAAGATAAGACACAAATATGCGGAACTTGGATCTTCTCTTATATGAATACACTAACAAAGTTAGACAAGAGGCACAAACTGAAATGTCTGCCTGCTTTACTGACTATTGATTTTATGCTGCAGGTCTTAAAGATAAAGGTTTTACTACAGGTATCACATAAATTGAACAATTTTAAAGATCCATGACAATGAGGTCAAGGTCAGATAAATCCTGTCAGACAGACATGTACACCCTACAATTATTCCATACACCAAATATAGTTGACCTGTTGCTTATGGTAATTGAAAAAAAGACCAAAACACAAAAACTTAACATTGACCAATGAACCATGAAAATGAGGTCAAGGTCAGATGATACCAGCTAGACAAACATGTACATCTAACAATCATTCTGTATACCAAATATACTTGACCTATTGCTTATAGTACATGAAAAACAGACAAAAACACAAAAACTTAACATTCACCAATGCACCTTGAAAATGAGGTCAAGGTTCAAGCAGTCACTGAACCATGAAAATGAGGTCAAGGACAATGGACATATGACAGACGGAAACTTCGTAATAAGATATCTGCATACAAGGTATCAAGCATCCAGGTCTTCAACCTTCTGAAATATAAAGCTTTGTACAAATAGTTTACTCTGCTGCCAGATAGTTATCCCTATGTCTTGCCTACTGAGATTTTCGTCGCAGGCGAGACAAACATCAAGAATATAAATAGCAGAGAAATTGTTTGAAAAGGGAAAGTATCCAATTTAAGTTCTTTGAAAACCTCAAAAACACCTTCATCTATGGTACTCGCTATTAAAATAGCGTTAATGCTGCTCTGTTAATTTTTTAAAATAACAATATGTCAATAAAATGCTCCGCTGGGCGCAGCTTGATACGACCGCAGAGGTCGAACCCTGAACAGTTGGGGCAAGTATGGACACAACATTCAAGCTTGATACAGCACTGAATTTGGATTGTGATTAAATATTTGACACAGCATAGGTTTCTGACACAGAATGAATGTGGTCTAAGAAGTTAAAAATTTTTAATTTACCTATTCAAACCATATCATTATTATTTGCTTTTATATTTAAATCAGAAATAACCAATTTAAAATGAAAAATTTTAAAGAAAAAAAAAGGAAAAAAAGGGAAAAAAAATCCCCCCCCCAAATTTGTTTGAACCCATCACCCCAACCTCAATCCCAGCCTTCCCTTTGTGGTATGGTACCTTGCAGTATAATTTCAGAGAGATCCATATACTTGAACACAAGATATTGTCTGGAAACTAGAAAGATGCTTGTTTTTGGCCCCTTTCTGGCCCCAAATTCCTAAACATTTAGGGCAATTACCCCCAAACTCAAACCCAGCTTTCCCTTTCTGATATGGAACCTTGTAGTACAATTTCATAAAGATCCATACACTTACACACAAGTTATTGTCATGAAACTAGAAAAATGCTTGTTTTTTCCACATAATATTTCAAAGGTGCAAAAATTGTTTATAATTTTGTTGCAAAATCAAGAATTTGTATTTCTACGCACTCACACATGGAGTTTTACTCACTTATTACCAGCTAGTAATATATTTCAAAAGTACCTTGAGATTTCCAAAGCTGGAACACAAGCCCCAGGTTTGTATCCAGATATCCCTCTGTATTCCTTGGCAAAGACCAAGTCCAGCATACTAACTTTATCCTCCATTATTTTCCGACACTGGTTCTGAACATATTGCTTTACCTGTGAAACATCTCTTGTTGTGAACAATACTTTAATAGATCTTTCCAAAACCTGAAATTGAGTAGTGGGATTGAGAAATAACATAGTAAGAAAAAAATTGAAAGATGTACAAAGGAAGAGTTGGTTTACTTCAGCTAAATTACACTTTTTCTTCTGCCAAAACATATTGAAATTTTCAATAAAATTTACAAGGAAAGCATGTAACAGGACCTGAAAGCAATATTATTCCCTTAAACAAAACTAGAGACTCTAAAGAGCCTGTGTCATTCACCTGCATCTTCAACAATGGTCACTTCTTAGGACAAATCATCATTATAGGGGAATAACTTTATGAAGAGCTAACTGACAATTTCTGTCATAAAATTGAGAATGGAAACGGGGAATGTGTCAAAGAGACAACAGCCATACCAAAGAGCAGAAAACAGCCCAAGGCCTTCAACACAGCGAGAAAATCCTGCACCTGGAGGTGGGCTTCAGCTGGCCCCTAGACAATAATGTATACTAGATCAGCGAAAATGGATGTCACACTAAACTCTGAAACATATAAATGAACCAAAACAAGCATTCTGTGAGTATTGCATGGCAATACATAGTCCCCTGCCGGTTAAAAATTCATTGCATTGGAACAAAATTCTAACTTGATCTATAACTTGTCATGGTTTAAACTGTATACCTATTATCAAATCAATATCTTCAAGCATGACAAAAAAAAGTGCTGAAAACTTATTATTTGAGTGAATTTTTTAAGTCCAATACCATAATTCTGCACAAAATCATCAGACCGGAACAAAATTCTAACTTGATCTGTAACTTGTCATGATAAAACTATAAACCAATTTTCAAATCAATACATTCAAGCATGACAAAAAAAGTGCTGAAAACTTATTATTTGAGTGAATTTTCTTAGTCCAAGGACCATTACTCTGCAAAAAATCATCAGACCTGAACAAAATTCTAACTTGATCTGTAACTTGTCATAATAAAACTATTTATCAATTTTCAAATCAATATCTTCAAGCATGACCAAATTAGTACAGAAAACTTATTATTTGAGTGAATTTTCTAAGTCCAAGGACCATAACTCTGCACATAATCATCAGACCGGAACAAAATTCAAATTTAATCTGTAACTTGTCATGATAAAACTATATACCAATTATCAAATCAATATCTTCAAGAATGACAAAAAAAAGTGTGGAAAACTGATTATTTTAGTGTTTTTTTAAGTCAAAGGACCATAACTCTGCACAAAATCATCAGACCGGAACAAAATTGGAACTTGATCTGTAACTTGTCATGATAAAACAATACACCAAATATCAAATTAATATCTTCAAGCATGAAGAAAAAAAGTGTGGAAAACTGATTTGGCAGACTTAAGGATGGACAGACGGACGGAGTGCAAACCTAAAGTCCCCTTCAACAACGTCGGTAGGGGACTAATAAAAAAAAAAAAACATACAAGACTTACAAAGGCCAGAGATTCCTGACTTAGGACAGGCACAAAAATGCAGCGGGTTAAACATGTTTTGTGATATCTCAACCCTCCCCCTATACTTTATTTCTATAATTTTTTTTATATTAGTCCCCTACCGACGAAGTTGAAGCGGACTTTAGGTTTGCACTCCGTCCGTCTCCCATAAATTCTTATGGGAGATTTTAACATAAATTGTTTACAACCCAATAAAATACCACAAAGATGGTTAAACGCTCTAGAAACTTATAACTTTCAACAGTTAATTAAGGAACCAACCAGAGTAACAAATGAATCAAAAACTTTAATTGACCATATATATGTCACCCATTTAAGCATTGTTAAAGAGGCTCATTTTTCTAAATATTCTATCAGTGATCACTATCCAATATGCATGACAAGACAAGAGAAAATGTATGATAAAAAAACATACTCATTCAACAATCACTTATAGAAATTTTAAGACTTTTAATGAGCAAAATTATTTAAAAGATTTAAAAAGTGCACCTTTTCAACATATTGAATTTGAAAATGACCCATCTGTTTGTATTGAAATTTGGTACAACATTTTTAATAACATTTTAAATAAACATGCCCCTATTGTGAAAAAGAGGGTACAAAAAGACCGACAGCCAGAATGGTACAATAAAGAAATCTCATGCAAGAAAAATGAGAGATAAATATAATTCACTGGGAATGTGGGCTGAATATAGATTCTGGAGAAACAGAACAAAACATATTATTGATACATCTAAACAGAAATATTACAATGATATGATAAAAGACTCAAAAGATTCTAAAACACTATGGAAATGTATTCACAGTCTAAATCCATCTAATCCATCAAAACCACATGAACTTATTGCAACCGGAGACCATATAACTACAGATCATAAAGAAATTGCTAATGAATTCAATAATTATTTCACCTCATGTGTTGAAAAATTAAGGCATAGCAGGGCACCAAGTAACTCAAATTTTAATACTCTGACAAACTATGTACAAATGAAATTCTTAAAAAAAAGGCACAACAAGTTTATCATTCCTCCAGTAAAAGTTTCAGAACTATTTGATGAAATAATTAAACTAGATGTTAAGACATCTTCTGGTTCTGACAATATAGGTCCAAAAATTTTAAAACTGAGTGCTCCTTTCATAGCATCTTCCTTAACATACATTTTTAATCGAATGATTGATACTGGTATTTATCCATCTGTTTAAAAAAATGCCAAGGTAGCTCCAATTTTCAAATCTGGTGAAAAAAACGTAGCTAGCAATTACAGACCAATATCTGTTTTGCCAACATTATCAAAATTAATAGAGAGACATGTATCTAAACATCTGTATAATTATTTGACAAAGTTTCAAATTTTACACCCTTCCCAGTCTGATTTTAGACCTAACCATTCATGTCAAACTGCCCTAATTAATACCATTGATAAATGGCTACATGAAATGAATAATGGAAATATCAATTTGGCAGTCCTCCTGGATTTTAAGAAAGCTTTTGATGTTGTTGATCATGAAATTTTATGTAAAAAACTTCAAATTTATGGCTTCCATGAAGATACTGTTGATTTTTTTAAATCATATTTGAGTGAAAGAACACAGCAAGTCCATATAAATAATCAGTTTTCTGATAAAAAGTTTATAAATTTTGGTGTTCCACAGGGCTCAATACTTGGTCCCATTTTGTTTGTTTTGTACATAAATGACCTTCCATTACACATCAAAAACTGCCATACAGACTTGTATGCTGATAACACAACTATGCATACATCAGGAAAGAGTATTGCTGATATGCAATTAAAAGTACAAGATGATCTCCAATGTGTTGAAAAATGGTGTCATAAAAATAACATGTTCATAAATTCAGATAAGACTAAATGTATGGTTATAGGTACAAGACAAAGGCTGCGTTTAAATCAAGCAGAACCAGTTCTAACTATTGAGAATAATATTCTTCAAAAATCATCAATTGAAAAACTTTTAGGTGTTAGAATTGACTCTACTCTGTCCTGGACAGGCCATGTTAATTACTTATGTTCATCAATATCATCCAGACTTCATTTACTCTCTAAATTCAAGAAATTTCTAAATATTGATTCAAGAAAATTGTTTTATAATGGCTATATTCTCCCACTGATAGATTATTGTTGTATTATTTGGAGTGGTTGTGCTAAAAATGAGCTAGTCAGAATAATAAAATTGCAGAAAAGGGCTGCAAGACTTATTTTAGATGCTGATCCATTTTCATCATCAGCTCCACTGTTTAAACAGCTTGGGTGGATGACAGTAGAGAACAGAATCTCATACCACAAATCTGTTTTGATGCAGAAATGCCTTAAGAACGAAGCCCCTGTATATCTCACTGAAAAATTTAAAGAAATGCCAGAAATAAACCAATATTGTTTGAGGAATGCGTCTTGCAAAAATTTACAAGTTCCAAAAGCCAAAACATAGCTGTATAAGAAATCTTTTATATATTCAGGATCTATTTTAAGGAATAACTTACCAACATCCCTGAAAAAATCAACCTCAAGTACAAGCTCATTCAAAAAAGATTTAAAAAATTACTTGTTGGAACATTAAGAAGCAGTGTTATTTTATATGTAAAATAATTTTCACACACTTACTCAAACTTAAGATATTGTTGAGGTAATTTGAATGATGCCAATACTATATGAATTTGTAATTTTTACCTGTTTTGAAAATTGTATATTTCATAACAATTTTTTATTTCATTTTTTCATATATGTGTCTTTGTTTGATATTTTGTAATTGTTTGTTTTATTTCATTGTATTTCATGAGGGCCTCAGGGAAGATTAGTTTTATAGCTTACTGTGTAACCCTCTTTAAATAAAGAATTATTATTATTATTATTATTATTATTATACCTCTAGCCAATGTTGACTTATTTGTAGATCTTGTCCTGCTGATCTTTTTTGCTTTTTAAAGATTCTATCTACTATTGAATCTATTATACTTTTCAAGATAATAGGCAAATCTAAAAAAAATGGTAAAAATCATCTTTAAAGGGCAATAACTCCAATAACGAGTTGACTGGAGATTTCAGCAATATGGCTTATTTGAAGATCTTGTCTTGCTAATCGTTTTTGCTATTCAAGTTTCTATCTTTCTATTCTAATGATCAAGATAATAGGCAAAAATGCTGTAAAATGGAAAAAAAAAATTTATTACTGTGAACTGGGAAATTTTAGAGCTGTCTTTTTTTGTGATTTACCAACAAAATCTAGATTCGCGCCATTTTGAATTCGCAATGTCCCAGTCGATGTCCTACATAAGTTTTTTCATCAATGATTTGGAAACTGTATAGTGTTAATAAATGTATTTAAATCAAGTGATAAAACCAATCAAAATTCCTTTTTGTCAGTTCACATTTAAAACTATTAGTCATGTTTGCTTGTAAAAACACAATCACAATAAACAAAGAGGAATGACCTAATTAAGAAAGAATTAAATGCTGACAGAATTACTGCTTGTTAGTTAATATTTTAATCTGATTGATCTGTGCAGCAGATACAATTGGTAATCAATTTAAAACTGATTGACAGG